GTGACGAGGGCGTCAAGTGATTGGGTGGAGGAGAATGTCACGGACAAATAGTCTCACATCGGCTAGATGTAGAGCCGAAAAGCAGTATTTAAGTCCTGGACTACCCATCACCCACAAGGGCTCTTTTGGGAGGTGACAGTAGCTTGAAGATCATTAATCGCTCGAAAATTGATTAGAATTTTTGCTCGGATGTGGCAAGTGGTATCAGAGCAGACTACTGCCTGCCAGGTGTGTGGACTTTTCATGGTCCAGTGGGACCCGCGGTGGAGTCGATCCGTGACGAGGGCGTCAAGTGATTGGGTGGAGGAGAATGTCACGGACAAATAGTCTCACATCGGCTAGATGTAGAGCCGAAAAGCAGTATTTAAGTCCTGGACTACCCATCACCCACAAGGGCTCTTTTGGGAGGTGACAGTAGCTTGAAGATCATTAATCGCTCGAAAATTGATTCGAATTTTTGCTCGGATGTGGCAAGTGGTATCAGAGCAGACTACTGCCTGCCAGGTGTGTGGACTTTTCATGGTCCAGTGGGACCCGCGGTGGAGACGATCTGTGACGAGGGCGTCAAGTGATTGGGTGGAGGAGAATGTCACGGACAAATAGTCTCACATCGGCTAGATGTAGAGCCGAAAAGCAGTATTTAAGTCCTGGACTACCCATCACCCACAAGGGCTCTTTTGGGAGGTGACAGTAGCTTGAAGATCATTAATCGCTCGAAAATTGATTCGAATTTTTGCTCGGATGTGGCAAGTGGTATCAGAGCAGACTACTGCCTGCCAGGTGTGTGGACTTTTCATGGTCCAGTGGGACCCGCGGTGGAGTCGATCCGTGACGAGGGCGTCAAGTGATTGGGTGGAGGAGAATGTCACGGACAAATAGTCTCACATCGGCTAGATGTAGAGCCGAAAAGCAGTATTTAAGTCTTGGACTACCCATCACCCACAAGGGCTCTTTTGGGAGGTGACAGTAGCTTGAAGATCATTAATCGCTCGAAAATTGATTCGAATTTTTGCTCGGATCGAGATCGATCGAAATAAACAAGCCGAGCTACGAGTCTAAATTTTAAATTGAAATTTTTTTTTTAGCCGATTTTGAGCGACTAACTTGGCTCGAATTTGAATAGTAACAGAACTACTTGCTTAGTAATAAACTATAAGTAGCCGGTGGATGTTTGTTTAACATTAATTTCTTAAATTGACTTTTAATAAAAAAATTTTATGCATACCCCAAGATTCCTTTTTTAATTCATAACATTTAAATTATATTTGCTCGGATCGAGATCGATCGAAATAAACAAGCCGTGCTACGAGTCTAAATTTTAAATTGAATTTTTTTTTAGCCGATTTTGAGTGACTAACTTGGCTCGAATTTGGATATTAACAGTGCTACTTGCTTAGTAATAAACTATAAATAGCCGGTGGATGTTTGTTTAACATTTATTTATTAAATTGACTTTTAATAAAAAATTTTTATGCATACCCCAAGATTTCTTTTTTAATTCATAACATTTAAATTATATTTTTTTACATATTTATCCTTTACTGGTACATAAAAATTAATATGTATTCCATTTTATTTAATTAAAACGGTGATTTTTTTTTTTTTAATTTTTATGTGAAAGATTTGAATGTTATAAATATAAAGTAGAATTCATGTGGGTTTTATGTAAATACTTCTAGGAATTGGATCACATACATGTAAATACACATTTAATTGAAAAAAACATATAGCAAATGCGCAGCTATATATGTATAACGAATTACTAGTGCTCTGCATTGTTGAAATACCTTAAAACATTCTTCGATCATAAAATGGATTGCACGAGCACTTTCGGAATATCAAACTTTTGCTATAACGAAAACCATATTATATGGTCTTCACACGTTAACAGTACGAACAGATTTCAAGCTATCGACTCAATTTAAATAAAATACACACAATTGAGAATGAATGGGTAATAATAAAATATTAATAATTCATTATATATATATACACGCTTCGTAGTTTAGGGATATAATTGTTTTAATGATAAATTGTGTGTGTGCACACCGTAGTTTAGGGATATAATTGTTTTAATGATAAATTATGTGTGTCACACACACAATTTATCATTAAAACAATTATATCCCTAAACTACGAAGCGAGCAAAACTATCCTATGCCTCCCTTGCCTATGCCTCACTATTTGTCCAATCAAAGCCTATGAAGGAAAAAAAAGAAAATTATAATAACTCATTCCTAATTATTCGACGTCCCTCTGCTCGCTTTCTTTCTGATCGACTTCTTAGGCTTCGATAGATGAGAAAATATTTCATGCGAGTATGAAAGTAGAGTTACATCCGAACTCCAATAACACGATGACACAAAGTTGATTTCACTTGTGACATATTAAAAGCAGAGCTACAACTACATTTATACGATCACATTGTACCGCCCAAATTGTGCCACAAATAAATAAATAATCTAACAAGGCATACTGAAACATAATAAAATTCTGATTTCAATATTGCAATAGAATTACATGAGGCTTTTTGTCATATTTTAGGAATTACAATCTCATTATATTGTCAAAATTGTGCCTAAAACCAACAAATTACTCAATAATGTTGTCTCAAAGCATCAGAAAAATCCAATTACATTAACACAATAAATTACATGAGGGTTTTTTTTAATTAGACAGTATAATTCCTTTATAATACCTAAATTATGCTTAAAATCAACAAATTACAAGCCTAAATTAATTTAAAATACCATAAAAATCTACTTTTTACAACGCAACAAATTAAAAAAAAAAAAAACTTGTTTTCTCAGAAATTAGGCAGTACAATCTCAATGCAATGCTTAAATTATGTCTAATTTCTTATAGTAGGTCAAATCACAAGTCAAGAATTTGTTATCCCGACTTTCTAGCGAAGGAAAGGCGGCTTTTAATCTCCGCTTACATAAGAGATCACATTAGTCGGGCAAGTCTAGATGATTTAGGGTATGCTTGGGGTAGCTTGTGCGTTTCAGAATAAACAGTTTATCCTAAAACGTAGCCTGCGGGTCGTTGCGGGGGTCGACTTGCGGCCTGCGTTTAGTGTAAAAAACTTAAACGCGGCACGCAGCGTTTTCAAAAACGCGCAAACCAAACGGTTAGGCGATGTTTTCAAAAACTCCGCCGCACTTATAAACTGCCCCAAACGCGGCCTTAATCTTCATATGCATAGAGATAATTTAATTTTATTAACATTTTACTATTTTAATTACCTTATAATTAAACACATATAGATTGAAGAATGTCATGTTTGAGGAGATGCATGACATTGCCATGCTTCATATTTTTTTGTTTTCTAATGGCGAAGTCATCATTGTTTAAGAAATAATTAGTCTTGCTTTCTGATAATTTAATGGACATTAATGCATATTTAATAATTTTATTTAATTAAAATATATAACCACCAATTGACATTTGCCTATTTTGATCCCTTCCCACAGGGGCATATTAAAATTTTATGATATTATATTTTTTTTCTTTGATATTATAATTAAGATTTTCTTAGAATTTAATCATTCGATGTTATAAATAATTATAAAAGCTTCCTATATATTTAATCCATCAATATGTAGATTTATTTTATACCATCCGCTTGATCTTCTTGCAAATCTACGACCGAGGTGTAGCAAGCAAAACTGCTGCAAGTAGATGCGTTACTCGTGTGTAGGGGTGCAAACGAGTCAAATTGAATTCGAGTAATGCCAAGCCCGAGCTCAGCTTGTCTAGCAAACTTGTACTGGCAGCACCCGGTTTGCGAGATGGCTAGCGAGCTTGAACAAAAACTCAACTTTTATGGGAGCTCGCTGGAGGAGTAGGAAGAGGAGGCAATGGGAGCTCACTGAAAAATGTATCGAAAGAACTAGTGGTAGGCTAATCGAGCCTGCTTGTGAGCTTGCGAGTGGAGCCAAGACGAGCTCGAGCTCTTTTAATAAACGAGCTCAAGTTTGAATTCATAGCTTGATAAGCTCGACTCATGAGCTCGGTAACGTGCCGAGCTCAAGTCTGCTCAACTCATTTGCACCTCCTCTCCTACCATCATCTCTTAGTGTAACAAAATCATAATTGCATGTTAAACCAATCTTCAATGTAGGGAATTTGAGATCATTTTATTTTCATTTTTACATGTTTTTATTTCTCATCTTTCAAAACAAATTAAGCCACAATTTCAAAATACTCAAATATAACTTTTAGATATTCTAAATATTTTCAAAAATGATAATCACCGTCCAACATAAGCCACAATTTCAAAATACTCAAATATAACTTTTAGAATGATAATCACCATCCAACATATTTTACTTCAAATCAAATCATAAACAACATAAACTAAAAGTTAAAAAAGTAAAAAATAAAAAGCAAAAAATGACATCATAAATTGTACTACAATCATATAAATAAAAGCAAGGAAGCATTCATAGTTTCTAGTTTTCTCCTAAACATAAACTCAAAGCTTCATATCAAGAATAACAACATCGCAGTCCTCCCAACCATCATAGCATTGATTAGCAATTGCATTTCTTTCAGCAGCATAAACATCATGAGGCAATTTCATGAAGTTGTAGAAAGGCAGTGCTTTTGGTGGAGTGGCTGAAGCTTCCCTCCCACCAATTTCTGTCTTCTGCTTGCAGAAAAACCAAACAGCTTATATTTAATGAAACAATCTCTTTGATTTCTAAGTGTAAGAAACTCACCTTATCTTCTTCATGGAATGCAGAGTAATATGCATTCAGATTTGGAAGCAACTTTAAATGAACATGTTGATTGGCACAGACAGAGAGATTAAAAAACATTTTTCATCATAGAATTCACAAGCTCATGAAAATTTAAGAACAATGAATCTAAGAGAAATATAGAAAACAGAAAACAAACATGCATTGTAAGCCGGAAAGTATAGAAAATTGTAGCTATCTTGCATAATTTCATTGCCCAAAAAGGGTTTATTTGATTCTTTGAAATAGCTATCTTGGTTCCTTCTATATCTAAGATCAATAATGGTGGGAATAGAAATGGCACAAATGTCGCGCTCTAAAAGGATATGACACCTAATGCTGCTTGGATCTTGAATACACAAATCTTGATGCATATAGAACTTCGCGGTTAAGCGAACTCACACACAAAGAATAAGGCCATAATGTAAGATGAAAGGCTTTTTGGGAGCTATGCTTGAGGTTTTTAAGGGAAAGCTTCTGTAAACAACACAATGGCTCCAAAACTCTTGATAAAAATTAAGACCATAATCTTAACACAATAATCTAATCTTATGTTGGTATCCACTAAATGAGAAAAATAACAAATAAACCCATAGATAATCATCTTATGAGCATTCAAGTGTCAGAGATTGCTCCGCTGATGCCATTAAAATTAAAAGGTATAATACCAGGCATACAGAAGTCCACTCTCTTCTTATGATGCTTCACTAATTTTGGTGGCATCACAACACTTCAATTTCTTTTATAAATCCTTAGTTCCATTAATGATGTATCAAATTAGAACAAAATAGACAAACTTAGCTAGGCTAAACTAATATTTAAAGTCAAATTGAATGAAATTTGACTAAAGAGTTGTGTTTTTAAACAAGAAGTGAAACCTACCAATTCAGTTAGATTGTCACAATGGAAATTTGATTTTTGGCTTCTCCTGATTGATAGACAAACCACAATAGATTGCTTGTATTATGTGTAATTTGCTCTCTTGTTTGATGTTTGTGTTTAACACTGTCATTGCCAGGTCTCAAAATCCGGATGCAAAAAGTGGAGGATTGCGTTAGGTAGTCAACAACTAACATAAATTTTTTGTCGAAAAATAATGACATGAATCATTTAAATCATTATGTAAACTTAATATGACACAATGGAGAAAAAGAAACCGACCCCAGTTAGTGGGATAAAGGCTTGTTGTTGTTGTTGTTTGATGTCTGTGTTCATTCTTTATAACACTAACACTCAAATGAGGCTTTACATGTATTTTTAATTTTTTAATAACCAAAACAAACATAATGGTTGAATTTGTATTTTCATAATGATAGTTTGATTTAGTTTTATGTTTGACCAACTTATTTGATTTAGATTTACATATAAGTCCAAAAGAATTCAAAGCAAATCGCTTATATTCTCGTGTGATTTGCTCTGTTAGCGCTGGCATGGAGTCCGGCCCACCCAACCCGCGAACTCTCGCTTCTGCCTCTCTTTCTGTTTTCACAAAACGATGCTTCTTATCGTAGGGCCCCCCCTCTTCACAAATAATCACTCCCTCCTTTCTTTTTTGCAAAGAGAAGCATCCCTTCGCCAGAAACTGTTCCCGCCTCATATATTTCGGGAAGCGAAGCATCACTTCGCTTCCTTCTCTTCGTGCATTTCTCTTCGTTATAAAAGGGCGGCTCTCCTTTAGATGTGGAAGTTACGGAAAGTCATGGTATTTTCTTCTTTAGGTTTCCTCGGGATTGAGGAAGAGTTCTTCGGGTTTCCACGGGACAGTGGAAGAGAAGAAGTGCAAGGAGGAGTAGTTTCTTGCAGCAGAAGGAAGAAGAAGGAAGAAGAAGAAGATTGTTCTCCCTAGGCTTCTTCTTGGTAGCTTGTGGCAGAAGAGAAATTTGGTTTATTTCTCTTGTAAGTTTGTCTTCATCGGTGTATCTCGGTGTAGAGTTTTCTTCGGTGTATCTAGGTGTAGAGAGAGAAGAATAGAGAGAGAACAACGAAGAGTGAGAGATTCCTCTTATAAGCCGAGGTGATCGACTGATGTAAATTTCCTCAAGTAGTAAAATCCTCTGCAACTCTGTGGACGTAGGCTAGGCAATTTGCTATAGCGGCTTTTTTTTTTTTTTTTTCAAAATTGAAAAAAAAAATGAATTTTTTCGATTTTTCGCTTCATCGATCGTTCTCCTGTTTGATTTATAAATATATACCACATCAACTGCTCTGGTATATATTTCATAACAACTGGTATCAGAGCTTTGTTCAGATCTGAGGAAGAATGATGGTTGCAGATGAAGTAAAGGTTTCAGGGATCAAGAAATTTGATGGCACAGATTTTGGTTATTGGAGAATGCAGATATTATTTTTATAAGAAGAAACTTCATCTTCCGTTATTGGGGAAAAGACCTGAAAGAATGGATGAGGCTGAATGGAATTTGTTGAATCGACAAGTTCTGAGGGTTATTCGATTGACTCTATCGACGTCTGTTGCACACATCGTCGTCAAGGAAAGTGTAGATATCATGACAGTCTTATCAGGTATGTATGAAAAGTCATCGGAGAATAACAAGGTGCACTTGATGAAGAAATTATTCAATTTGAAGATGGCGGAAGGTGTTTTTGTTGCTCAACACCTGAATATTTTCAATACTATCACAAATCAATTGTCATTTGTGGAAATTGATTTTGATGATGAGATATGTGCACTGATCTTGATTTGGCTGAGGAAGTTTGCAGGAAAGATTCTGTCGATGTCTCAGGTTCGAATTCAGCACTGAATGTTGATTTCAAAGGGAGATGACATGATAGGAACTCAAGGATAGAGAGATCAAAATCAAAGTTTAGTAAACAGACAACCTGTTAGAATTGTGACAAGACTGGCCACATAAAGAAGAACTGCAGGAATCCTCAGAAGATGGAGAATGATAGCAGAAATGTGGTATCTGAAGAGTCACAGAATGCACTTCTGTTGGCAGTTCATAGTTCTGTTGAAGACTTGATGTTGGGTTCAGGAGCTTTGAATGTGGTAGAAAATCTACCAAAGGCCACAGTGCAAGGCAGTGATGGAAGTGAAGAAGAGAGTGGGTCCAGGGCACCCATTCCTATTGTTCCACAGACATATATTACAGAACCACAGAGCTATGAAGAAATCTTGCAACATAAAAATTTGAGCAAGTGGGAGCTGGCAGAACTTCCACCAGGGAAGAAGACCTTGCACAACAAATGGGTGTACCAGATAAAAACTGAGTGTGATGTCAGTAAAAGGTACAAAACTAAACTTGTTGGAAAAGACTTTCAGCAGATGCAGGATGTTGCCCATGCAGTGAGAGTTGTAAAAAGAGACAAGAGTGACCCAAGAAATAGCTTAGAGGTGCAAAACTATGTGGAGTCTGCTGATGAGGGTGTTACTCTTGAGAAACTGAAGTTATGCACAGCTTCAGTTGGTCTTCTGGAGTGAAGACTGAGACTTTGAGTTGCACGTGTGGAGGATTCATGATGGAAGATTCATGTTTGAAGTAAAGGACGACACTATCAGTGGAGGATTCAGTTCGAGGAAGGAGACGTTGTAGCAGGCGTACCGATCTCCAAGTGGGAGATTGTTAGCGCTGGCATGGAGTCCGGTCCACCCAACCCGTGAACTCCCGCTCCCGCCTCTTCTATTTTTATGAAACGACGCTTCCGATCGCGAAGGGTCACACCTCTTCACAAATAATCACTCCCTCCTTTCTTTTTTGCAAAGAGAAACATCCCTTCGCCAGAAACCGTTCCCGTCTCCTCTATTTCACGAAGAGAAGCATCCATTCGCTCCTTTCTCTTCGTTATAAAAGGGCGGCTCTCCTTTAGATGTGGAAGTTACGAGAAGTAACGAGAAGTTACGGAAAGTCACGGTATTTTCTTCTTTAGGTTTCCTCGGGATTGAGGAAGAGTTCTTCGGGTTTCCACGGGACAGTGGAAGAGAAGAAGTGCAAGGAGGAGTAGTTTCTTGCGGTAGAAGGAAGAAGAAGGAAGAAGAAGAAGATTGTTCTCCCTAGGCTTCTTCTTGGTGACTTGTGGCAGAAGAGAAATTGAGTTTATTTCTCTTGTAAGTTTGTCTTCTTCGGTGTATCTCGGTGTAGAGTTTTCTTCGGTATATCTCGGTGTAGAGAGAGAATAACAAAGAGAGAAGAAGAGAGAGAGCAACGAAGAGTGAGAGATTCCTCTTGTAAGTCGAGGTGATCGACTGGTATAAATTTTCTCAAGTAGTAAAATCTTCTGCAACTCCGTGGACGTAGGCAATTTGCCGAACCACGTAAATCTGTGTTCTTTTCTGGTGTAATTTTTTCTCGTTCTATTTTTCGCTTCGTCGATCGTTCTCCTGTTTGATTTATATATATACCACATCAACTGCTTTAGTATATATTTCATAACACTCATGTGGTGCTCACTGATTATACGACTTTGATGAGATTCTACCTATTTAAACTTTTTCGCTTAAAATAATTTTAATAAAAATCTTAAATTGAAATCTAAACAAAATCCATCAGGTTTGTTTACAATATCATAAAGGGAATTTAATTTGGTTTCATATTTGGCTAATGTTTTGTTTTGATTTAAATTTAATACAAGTTATTTGAAATAAAATCAAATCATGCACACAATTGAAAATTCCAAATGGAAACTTGGCAAGTGTTCATACATCTTAAAAAAAAAAGCCATATCATTATACATCGTTTATACTCCCGTGCAATTTATTCTCTTGTTTGGAGTTAGTGATCGCTCTTTATAACTCTTGACTTGTAACTCCCGATTTTTGGTAAAGTTAGCACTTTAAAGCAAAAATGAGGTAGAGAAGGAGATGAGGCATTTGCAAGTAAGGGTTAAGTCTCATGTGCGATACCACTTAAATGATCTTAATCTATTAGAGTTAAATGAAAATATGACACCCAATAGACACAATGGAGAAAAATGATTCATGTAGCCGACCTGACTTAGTGGGATAAAAACTTGATGTTTTTGTTGTTGTTGTTATATAACATAAATGATGTAATTTAGATGGTGCATCAAGACACACACACAAACACAAACACACATAGATGTGTAAATTATATAGTACATATAATATAGATGTGAAAATTATATAGTACGATACAACTAATGTCTTGAATTATTTTGTACAATCATGTTGAACATATAAACTGTAAAATGCTCTTATATTAATTTTACTGTAAATTTACCTGACATGCATATTATTTTATTTTCATTGTGTTACTGTAATTTAGAAGTAGAAGTATTCACTGGTTGATAGATAATTGAATTTTAAATTAATATTTTTAAGTTTAAATTTTTATTTTAAGAAAAGTAATAAATGAAAAAATATTTATAAAAAACGGGGATAATCAGAAAAATAAGATAAGTTTAAGAAATATTTTTTATATGGTGACTCTTTCAATTATTTTTTTGATTATTAAACGTTAGTTATAAAAAATGTGAATATCAAAATTTAATTTTCATCGCCCGACCATTTGGTCCCCACCTTGTAAAACTCCAAGCCATGGGTCGGGCCGAGTCGTGACAAAAGTAATATAAAAAAACAAGGTATGGGATTAAACAATATAATCTTGATGAAAGGGTCAATAAGATAATTACATGAAAATTAATAATAATAAAATTAAAAGTTTAGGTTAACTATAATCAAGTAATTATTTTAATCACCCAAATGGATACACCCAAGATTATAAAGGAGAAAAATAAGGTAGGAAACGAGGAATTAAAGCCTGCCATAACAATGAACATGAATGTCATGACCGTGCCGAGATGAGTAAGATCCTACTTTATTTCTAGTTTATTTTTTATGATTTTAATAATAAACGTAAACTTAAAATCAAACAAAATCTAATTGTTCTATTTAGATTGTCATAATGATAGATTAATTTTATTTTCATATTTGATTAATTAGTTTGCTTTGATGAAAGCATAAGTTCATTTAGAATTAAAGAAGTGATGATAATAATGTACTCATAATTACTTTGGAACTAAAACGTAAATTTGGAGATCAAATTCTTTTAAAAGAGATCATAAGTTATAAACATGAACTGATAAAAAGTGTTGAATCAGACCAATCTAAACCACAAATGTGAACTTTTGATCGCACATAGCCCTCCCTGTCTAGCAATTTGCCCTAGCAAGTGTTGTCTCAATCCTCAACAGATGTGCAAATCTTATGCTTATCGCCCTTCTTAGTTGCCTTACATTACAATTTAAAATACTTGAAAACCTAGTTATTACATCCCTTTAGCCGACCACAATCGCCCAGTCTCTTCAATGGAGCTTCGCATCGTCCTCTCGAGGAACTAGCCATAACACTATTCCCCTCCATCTGATCGAAAACCAACTATAGTGATTTCTTTCCTCATTTCCTTCTCTATTGATCGAGCAAACATAAATAGTGAATTATCACCTTTATCCTTTTTTTTTGTCTTCTTTTATCCTTTTCTTCTTCCTTATATTCTTTTTCTTCTCTGCCATTTTCATTTTTTGAGACTTTATCATTTTGCCTACTCTACATAATATGATAAGAAGAGTTTAGTTTCTTAAATTTATAAAAGAATAATGTTTATTTAATTCCCTATTGTTTAAGAGATTAAGTTAATATGGATCTAGATTAAATTATAGTTAATTTTAATTTAGTTATAATTATAAGTTTAAATCTGTAAAAACAATTAACCTATGTTAGTTATAGGATAACCTAGGTTGGCAAAGGTGTGTCCTTTTTAATCAAATATAAATTTTCAATGCTTCTTCTTTGTGTAATTGATTGAATATTATTATTATTTAAGGCTTTCAGTCTGGTATTTATCTATTTCATCTATTTGAGATTCTAAAGAACATTGATTTAAACATTGCAACCACATGAGCAGCTGTTATTTATTAAAGGATAAACATATCATTTTTTATTAGAGACATTATTCCTGACAATTATAGAAGAATTCTAGATTTCTTTTTAGATTGTCAAGCCTGCCTTTATTACTTGAATATTTATTATTCTAGTAGATCCCTCTTAATGTTCGAAATGAAATAACAAGTTGCATATGTAAATTGTTATTAATTTATTGCTACATAATTCATGTATACTGAACTTATTTCTATAGTAACAATACATTATATCTATTAAATATAATAAACTTTATTCTTGTAACTTACGTTTTAATATATAAATAAAATTGATCGTATTATTTACAAAATATATTAAAATTTGCTTATGATAAATAAAAATTGTATATCTATGCGCAGTGATGTATATGTAAGTAGAGCCCTTTTGAATATTATCTAAATGTGTCAATTGGCACATAGAATGATGACTATCTACTTATAATCATCAGATTTCTATGGGTTAGTGTCCACATTCCCAGTTTAAAAGTGTCTCCATAAAACTAACCATAGATGTGCAAATGGATGGACAATAGAATGATAAATGACTAATATCACATTTAGAAACATATGATTATACTCGATATAGTTGCATTTGGATAAGTTAGAATAAAAATACATTACTTACAGCTAACATGCAAATGAGCATCAAAATCATATTAGAATATGCCACACTCTTCATTGAAGCAATATGATTACTCTAGCTTGATTATTTGATGCAACTTATTGCATTGCTATTGTATAGTCAAAAAGCTTCTTTTTTTGTCCATGTTGTTTGCCATAATAACTTGTCATTTATTCTAAATAAATAGGAGTTATTGGATTTGAGTTATCAAACTTAAAATTTTTCCAGGATTTTATTTGGAATTTCTATGTTTGGGCAGTAGCTCTATTTATATTCTTATTAGGGTTTGGGTAGTTATGATTCTATAATTATTACTTACACTTTATTTTTCACTAGTTACTATTATTACCTCCTCGTAGTGCCAAAGTTATGGACTCTATTAATACAATAAATATTCTTACTTTCGTTCGATTATTCTTAATAATTATAGTTGGTTGTATATGAATCTTTTCTCATGAGTACAAAAAAATTATAACTCCATCTTAATTTTTGAAAAATATTTCAAAAGTTGAGGTCCATCCATTCAATCTGTCCTATCTTATCAAAGTGTATAGCTTTCTTAAACTAGCCTGTGAAATGAGGTGAGTGTTGGAGATATAAAAGTAGTCACGCTAAGTTTGAGCCATTTATATAATCTCACCAAATTTTCCATTTAGAAATGGCATTAGTGACATCCATTTGTATGATTGGCCAGTTCTGAATAAGAACTATTATAAGAAAAGCAAAAATAATGAGCATTTTGATGGCAACGCTAAATTTTTATCTGTAATCAATGTATTTCTCTTGCTTATAGCCTTATGCAATGAGTTGTGCCTTGAGTGGTGTGATTTTGCCATCGGAGCTATATTTTATTTTAAATGTTCATTTGCTATTGAAGAAGTTTGAGTTGGGGATGATGAAATGAGGATCCACATGCCTTGAGCTTGTCAAGCTAGACAATATGTGACATAGTTGTTTTCCATTGTTTCATCTTGATCGTGAAGGAGTAACAAGTTGGATCACTCAAAGTGATAGTTTGAGTCAAGTTGAAAATTTGTTTTGGCTTAAGCTCATCGTTCTTAAGATGGATTTTTAGAAGCGTCCAGTTGGCGCAGAAATTTGCTGGTTTTGAGTTACTAGTCAAATGAATGTGGGGTGAGAATAAAAGAAAGAAGAGGTGCTGAGATAATGGAATATAATGCAATGGTGAGGATTTGGTCAACCAGAATCCATGTATTGTATTGGGGATTAGAATTGAGAGAGCCGTCATTGTTGATTGTATGTTAGGAAGGACGCGGGATAGATCGATAGAGGAACCTGTTGAAGCCATTAGCCTGGAAGAATTTAAGATCTTCCAATATTCGTGTCAGGTGACTCTCCGGTGAAAATAGAATGTTAATGATGTTTTTGGATATTAGACGCCAACATTTTATTGAGAGAGCATTTGTCATTGCTTGAGTTGGTAGTTATTGAAGCTTTGTAAACAACTAACCTGTTTCTTAGCAACAATGATATCAGAAACTTGTTGGATGGGCATGGCTTGGAGGGGTAAAGCACTGCTGTAAACTGAAGGTAAGCATGCCAAGCTAAAAGCGCTGCTGTCAAAAGGATTGGTGATACCTTCTTCAAAAGTGTGAATCCTCTTCCCTGTAGGGTGGTTGCTTGAAACACCATCTCTGAGAATTAAATTGAACAGCTTTATTCAGCAAATAAAACTATAGGCCAAAAAAACAAAGAAAAACTAAATTTTGAATCAAACTTACGATGAACAATCAGTGTTTTCCCCTTGAGATTCATTGATCACAAATGTGCCACAATTTGAACGAGAAATTTGAGTGGATTCTGTAGTAAAGATGACTATTTGATTTCGGTCCGGATCAATTTGAAAGGATGATAGATGATTCATGCCAACAAACTAAATGTCCAGGGCTTGTAAGAAATAGTGAATAAAACAAGAGAATTTAACACAGAGAAATTAATAATAAATTGAAGAAAACCTGATCCATCGTAATCTGCTGATCTGCCCTGAGCAAGGGATTCATAATGCCATGATGGCTTTGGTTTGAAGGGAGCTCCATTTCCATCTGAAGGCCAGCTTCAGGAAATAGATCAAATGGCGAAGATTTCACCACCTGAGAAGACAGCAAGTAATTTCAGAGGCATTTCAACAAGCAGTTGGTGCTCAATAGTGAAAAACAAAAATAATCGAAGCAATTGAACAAGCCACGGAGACCTGGTTTATCTGAGGCTGAAGCTCAGGTTTCTGCAACGGCAACATCAGTTCCGGCCTCAATGGCGTTTGCTTCACCTCGGATGCGACGAGAGAAGGCAGCGAGTCAAAGCTAGTGGAAGCATCGCTCTGCAAAGGGCTCGACAACAATGGCATTGGGCCGTCGCTGGAAGCCAGTGGGTTTAAATCCTCTAACTGATACGGCGACATGGATGAGTTTTCAGCAATACGCCCGAACTGGGAAGTGGGATCAAACTCTGGGAGGAAAGGGACGGTCATGTTTGGCTGATGGCCAGGCGAAAGAAACGTTGCTTCCTCTTCGCCATCAGAAATACGGTGTTCTTGCTGCGCCATTTCGTAATCACAGAAACTAAGTCAGGAAGAAAGGCGAGAGCTTTCACCGCGAAGCAACCAGGAGAAGAAGAAAAGGATGAACAAGACGAATTTAGGGAGGAAAGGCAGCTTTTTGATGGGCTAGGATCGGTGATCGATCGAAGGACATGGAAGATAAAGCTGAGGTGGAGAGCAGAGAGCGAATCCATGGGTAGAAAAGAAGGGCCCTTCGCTTTATTTCAGAAATCATTGCCCTCGTGTTCCTATGGCTATTTTTAGCTTTGACCAAATTTGGCTGCCTAATGCGCGCTGGCTGCATCCAGAACCTCTCCTCTGAATTACAGAAGAATTTCAGTATTATTAATTTTTAGCTTTGACCAAATCTAATTTAAATTTTGAATTCTCATTTATTATATTAATTTTTGAATGAGCATCAATTTTTACTGGTTTACCATTTGGGCCTTGAGATTGGTAATTTTAATTGAATTGCAGTTTAATTGTGGGTCAATTAGATGCGAGAAACTATATTGTACTTTGTGGTTATGTACTTACAATGATGGATGAAGTTGTCACATTATCATAATTTCACGTATATACGGTGTGTCCCCTCCACCACCCTCGTAATTACATACTTTGTAAGTACACAATATTTTTTTATTAGATGAAGACCACCCAAAACTTGCTCTATAAATTAATGGTTCGCTTTCTTCTATTTTTCAATCCTACTCAAACATCAAAATTTGTGGTAAAATCCCAACTCTTAGTTTTCATTTTTATCAAATCTTCAATAATTTGATCAAGACACGGGTAAATACATGATTCGATAGTTCAACAAAATAATATGGGGGGGAATTCTGTAAATACCAATGTTTCAGGTAGTTTCTATGTAAAGTTTAGATTACAACTTAATTGTTGTTGGTCCATTGGATTGGATTATACAATTATTTCCTTAAGAGAATTTTTGTGATGATAAATGAATTGTTTGATAATGTACTTGAGCAATTTATGACTTGTATTAAAGTTTTGGCTTGTACTTGAGCAATTTTTTTGATGATAACTTGTACTAGTATTTCTCTTTAATATAATTTATTATTACTTAGTTTATAGCTTTAAATGAGTGAATTTTATTTATTAAATGATAAACATATCATGTTTTAATCAAAGAAGTTATTCTTGGCAGATGTATTAGAAGATTACTATATATTTTCTTAGTTTGTTGAGTTCGTCTTTATTACTCGGTAATTTATTATGTCAGCAGATTTTTTTTAATGGTCATGATGATAACTTTAACATTCGTGTATTCCAAAATCTAAAATTTAGTTAGTTAAAATGTTGGCCTAAAGAACACTTCATAAACCTATCAATTTTTAGGGTTGTTGCTTATGTCTTGGTCTAATAGAAAAATAGATTTTATTGTAATAAAAAAGTGTACAAGAAAAATGAAGAATGTGCATGCATACCACACAATGCCTACCCATTTACACATTTAACATCTAAACTTTAGTTTTTGCTTATATGGAACTCAATTTTTTTAGCATCACATCTAAAATATCATTAATGTGAATTATTCTCAAGTCCAGAGCACATTATGTGATTTTCACACTAAATGTTATAAATATAAAGTTCAAAGTCCAAATGACGTTGCCCTTATAGGAAGCTTTTCCCGAACCCAGCATAATATAAACCCTATTTAATTCCTTATATTAAATAGGGGAATTTGTCGGCCAATATATTGGTTTTCGCAGACCAAACGGATGTCATAACTTTCTCTAGTTTATTTGATCGAGCCTCACCCTCAATTCTTGTGTTCATCCTTTGGGATAGATACAGGATTTGAGGTAAAGCGCTCTTTCATTTAAACTATGAAAATTATGGGGTCAGTTTGACTTCATCTTTTTCAAAACTAAATTTTTTTAAACATCCTTCTGAAGCAGGCAAACTGGATTTCAATTCCGATGACCGACAGCTTCTTACAGGCAAACCCCACACCAAAAATAGTGCCGACAGGGATAAATCCTTATTTGCCTATGATCCTCAAAGCTTTTCTATGAGATCCCTACGTTGTTGTTGACAACTAGGGATAAATCCTTATTTGCCTATGCTAGGTCATGAGAAACGTTGGAAATCAATATTACAGTTAAAAAAGTTTAAACCTGCCAAATTTCTTAGGAATCCTTTAGTCTCATACATATGTTGTAATCTTATGCTGATAATATGTCTATTCCACTAGGTGGTTGTATGTTAACTTAATTATTCTCTTAGAAAATGGTTATAATTCATTGATCACAAGGGATTTTAACTTTATAATTGGTCATATTAGAAGTAAATTATGATTATAATGCTAACACATTAACATGATTCAAATAAAAGTATACAAAAAGTTTTGGAAAAACTCATGGAGAAAACATTTGATTCATTCACAAACCCTAATCAAAGGAGAACAAAAATATTTAGCCACTATGCATGAGAGGAGAAAATATCAAAAACTTCATTATAATAAAGAATATTAACATGTAAAACAAGTAGAATCAAACTAGAAAATTCTTGTCCTGCTTTACTCATGATCCTCCTTGTATAGTGCAAGCATTCCACATGTTCTCCCTCAAATAAGCACTCAATTAATCTCACCCTCCAAATCTCCAATCTCACATAAAAATCTCTAGAAAATTCTCTCCAAAAAAAAAACATAAGGAGAAAATGCTATGATAACCAAAAAAGAAGACTTTTTTAATCCTAGAGAAGATACTTCATAACCAAAAGATCTCTAGGGCTTTAATGCAAGCACTTTAAAAATCCATGCATCAAACATCGCCTCAAAACCTATAAAATTTGTCAAATGACAGAAGGGATGCGCCTGCACTACTGTCCAACACAGGAGCCTCACTATCTTTGTGGGGTAGTGCGAGGGCGTTACCTCCTCAGTGGGGTGGCACAAACATGTTGTCTATGTTGGCTTTTTTTTTTTTTGGTGGTGGGAGGGGAGTAGGGTGGGGGGGGGAGCAATTTACCTTCAGCTCCCTGAAGTGTGGGATGTGATTACTCCTGTTCCCAGGCCATTGAATTACCTGAGGGTCAAGTCCCTCAGTGTGGTGTAAAATAACTGACACTTTAGTGCGAAAAATATTTTAAGAAGACAGATAGTCGACTCAAAGGAAGCAATATAATCATATGGATCACTTCGACCCTTACATGATTCTAATGAAAGGAGTTTGAACTTCTACAATGGATCAACATTAAAGATCTGCTAAAAGAACACCTTCTCTAGTTAGAAGTAAGCCTCAATACACCCAAACAATTGCCTGATCAATAGTGTAGACCCATCACCATTCCGGTACTGGGAGTCTTCCATCATTTATGCCCCCTAAATCATTCTACGACCTTGGGTTTTGGGTTCTTCTTATCTAGGGCTCTACTTCAATCTTCCATCAAGTACCGCACTGATCCATTATGAAATTTGACCTGTCATTTGGTCTCTAAGTTCTTGGATTTGCTATTGTGCAAATTCTCTCATGCACTCGATGTTTGTTGTGTCTCTCAGATGAGCTCTTTCTCGGTGGTGTGCTTATATTCTTAATGATGGCTTGATGCACACTTATCGCACCTCTTAAGATGTTGAAATCTGATAAGTGTTGTGAATCACACCCAATGTATAGATCCTAGGACGAACCAGAGAAACAAAGAGTGAGGAATTGAGAAAGAGAGAGAAAGAGAATCCATAGTAACACAAGAGTTTTGATAAAGTAAATTCAATAGTCCCTTATTGTAGAAATAACCCTCTATGTATGTATTTCAGGGGAATCTAGTATAAAGTTACATGTTTGTCCCCGTTTTAATAAGGACCTTGCAAAAAATTATGACACTTTTTCATACTCGTAACAAACCGTGCTAGACCTCAACCAAAAGTGAGGTCAACAACTCTTTCATATTTATAACAGATCCTGACATAGTTTTGTTATTGTAATTGCTTGAAGAGGGTCATCTGATGACTCATTAATCATATCTCTCGGATGGATGAAAGTTTTTGGTCAATGGCAGTCATTTGGTCGGCTGAATGGTCGTCAGTCGACCTCTCAAGAGTTCATTCTAAGAAGAGGCCCTCTTGTCGTTAAGATGTATTGGGGCGTCAAGCAGAGGGTGTACCAAGAGGCCCTCTTGTCGTTAAGATGTATTGGGGCGTAAAGCAGAGGGTGTAGTGTTATCTGACGGGTAGCTTTCACTGGATAAAGAACATTCTCAGAGGGTCAGAAAGGTGTTCCATGGGAGACGCTTTAGCCATTTTATAAGGAGTTCCAAAATCTGTTGAGGGAGTGGGTTTTGATAGACCATCCCTAAGATTAGGCCGCTTCTATGTTTTTTGTTTGGTTGTACTTCAGTTTGGTTGGCTCAAATTTCTGACCAATGAAACTGATGCTTGATGTTTCCATTTTTTGACTATCTTAATACACCGTTATTTGGCATTCATAAGTGAGATCCGCCAAATTTCTGGCCCGTTTGGGGCAACTTATGACTATCGTGTTTATTTCTTGTGATGGACCCGCATTTCTGCAAACAGCGTTTTAAATTTTATATTACACGCGGATCGCGGGTCTATCACTGCGATCCGCGTTTACACTCTTAAGTTTACCCCGCTGCCCCTCTTCTTTCTCCTTCGGCATCGCTCTGCAACTCCGTCGCTCCGCAGGTATATCTCGTCCCTGTGCTCTTCTCTCCTCTCTTCCCTCTTGTCCATCATTTCTGCGCTCCTCTCTGTTTCTCCTCTCTGCGCTCCTCCCTCCACTCTTCCCTCCCTGTCCCCTATATCGATGAATATCGAGCTGTTAGAGTAGATCTAGTTTAGGGTTCGATGTATATTTATTGTAGAAATGCAGATCCATTTTTTCAGTGAATATGGAGGTGGTTTCATTGTTTTGAAGTTTTCTTTCTCTCTTTCTCCTTTGCTATGTCATGTGTTTGAGGCATATATATGCACTATTTTCTACTTGTTCATTTATTTATACACTACTATCGGTTTTTATATGTCCATTTTCCCCTCTTAATGATTGTCAGAAACTATTATAGAGCCTACAAGAGAAATGCATAAGTATTGTGTGGCAAGCTTTGTTGTATTATCGATAAGAACTATGCAAATGCATAAGTATTTTGTGGATAAATTGGGACATTTTCCTTATATTAGTGAAAGCATTCGAGTACCATGTAC